GAAAGAGATAAAGCACTGTCGATACGAACGAGAATTAAAAAATTAGATTCTAACACCTCAAATAGCGTATACACTGTGTGACATAAATCGTTGGATAATTTATTACTAAATCAAACTGAACTGAATGTTTGAAATTAATAGAAATAATACTTGACATCTAAACTTAAATTAATTATACCAGAAAGGCTAACTTTTCAGTATATGTACAAAACAACCAAGAGGTATAACCAACCCACCCTTAAGACGCAAATTATACTACCTCATTTAACAAAAACTACATCTGATCCCAACTGTGTGTAAAACAAATATTTTAATTAAACTATATTACAATTCCACCAATTAACTAATTAGAAATAGTCACTACACAACTCCGAAAATCTATGCAAAAATTCAACCATCTATTTAAATAAAGTAATACAAATACCCTAATTATAAAATAGTGGTAAAGGAGTAACTTAAAGTAAAAAATAAAGTAAAGTAAAAATAAATAATAAAACAGATCAAGAATTAATTGTATGTACAAATAAAGAAATACAAAATCATATCTGAACAAAATACACAATTTATAATGACATTGAAAAAAACTTTCAATCAGCAATAAAAATACAATTTGTATTTATTTATTTATTTCAAATGGTAGGCCTTTTGATAGTTATCATTGGCCATTTAGCTGAATTCGGGATTCATAGAGAGGAGGTGAAACAGCAAAGTGACAAAAGAAGAGAGGAGGACAGAATAATGATTCACAGATTTAAAGGAGACAGACGGATACAAAGGCAGAGAATAGGTAAGATAAGTACTGTGGAAGAGGTCGAATATGACATGCAGTCGGCCATGGTAGTTTGAAGTCAGGAATCGACTGTCGTTTAACAGACTTTTTTACCGTATGGGTATACATTGACCATGGTTCACCAAGTGGAGGTAAGTTATCGCACATCCCACCTAAAAATAAAAAAAGAAAAGAATATTAAAGTTAAAATATTACCTAAAATGTTGAAATGAAAAAAAGTAAGATTAAATAAAGAAATAAAGAATCATTTACTTCTACAAATTCATGATGCACTTATAAAATAAAATGAAATAAACCAAACTTTAATATGGATCAAAAACAAAATAGTATGATACAACAAATAACGAATCATAAACTTCACTACTTTTACTGTTTCCTGCATAAAAATTCTGATAAGTATGGATAATCCAAAAAGTACTAATAATACTCAATATGTAATTAACTTATCAACATGACTACAAAAACACAGAATAATGTAGAAAAATGAAAGAAATTCAAATCCATGCCTAACTAATGGTCGATAGAAAATGGCAACATACAACGGCAACAAAACCCTCATAAAAATAATAAAAGAATTAATGAAAATAATGGATTACTAGTCACCTCTGCAATCAAAATGTAGAATGTGCCAACAATTCATCGAAACATAAATTGTATTAAACCAGGAAGACATAATTTGCTCAATATTATAATGGAACTAAATATAACATCTCCTATCGGAAGTAAACATCTCTGTTCACCCTTTTCGTATTGATAAATAACCACATTAAATTAAGGGCACAAGTCCGCCAAAAAATGAGGAAAATCCCTGGATTTTATAGATGACTTTACGCCTATTTGGTGAACCATAAAATTATCAAAATAGATTAAAAATAATACCAGCTCTTAACCCGTGTCCCAGGCAATTAAGGAATAAATTATCAATAACTCATATATCACTAATTAATAAACAATAAATGGTAGTACGGTATGTGCTAAACTTAGGAAAGCTAATCAACGTTTACGTTCAACTTAATACAAGATACCATTAAAAAACAAAGACAAATAATAAATTGGACTTGATCCAAAAATAAGATGAAATATAAAGGATAAATTTATTGCATTCATAATTTAAATCTCTCTTTGTATCAATCATAAGTATATAAGAAGTAAAATAAAAGGTGGACTAGTAGTTAATAATAAGCCAGAAACGTATCATCTTCTAAAAAGCGTCCCGACTAAGGAGTACTGGGCGAAATTGGTTGAGAAGGATATTGATGATATTTCAGGTTGACCAGGTTAGTTTATAAAGGCTCATTGGACAAGCACACTTCAGATGAGCAAATGAATTATCAGGACATTTGATGTTTCGAGTAGGGATTCCCTCAAACTTCTTCCTTTTCATCAACAAGTGCTTCGTAGCAGAAATGTGGGTTATAAGTGGTTATGTGGTTTCGAATCCATCCACTTCTCACTTTATTCTTGCAGGTCACATCGGCTGGACAAAGGAGTCTATCAGTTGACAGGCCACTGTTATGTCTGTTGTGGTCGATCCGCCAGTACCTCCTAATCGCGAATGCATTTGTAAATCTTCAAGGCATATTGAAGCCATAAAGCTTACAAGTCTACTTCGGATAGATATTGCCAGGTGATTCGAAAGTGGACTGAAATAGAACAGTAGGTAGCTGTAGTTCACTTAGTTCAAATATATTAACTTCTTGTACTGACTGGCGTGCAACTCCACCTCACCCATTTTATTCCGACTTCCAGAACGCCACCAACATTTGGTGTGTGCTGACTCGATTTAATTCACACTATTATCACAAAGACAATTCTCATTAAAAGCTCAATCGAGTGGGGTTATGGAGTGAAATTGGCGTTTTTCTCTTCATCTGCTATGCACGCCACATCGTTTTTATCTCATCCACGACAAACTCCACGCAAAATGCACGTAGATGGCTCGACTTCACATTAAACCACCGTTTAAGGCATTGTGTTTCAAATTTTGATCTAATGGAGGAGACCCAAATTTCACTTATATTTTGACCAAAATTCTCATTAGTCCGTATTCATATGCCACCTTTTGACCTTTTCATTGTTAGAAATAAATATAATTAGAAAAAGTCAGAACTTAGTAAGGTCGCTCCAATGGTTCACTTAATGGAAATGTTGATTGTCTCTACAATGCCAACACAAATAATAAATTATTGCAACAAAATCGTGGCGTTTTGTTTCGATTAGAACGAGAAGAGTAGGGTAGTCGGCTTCAATAGGATTCAATTATCTCATTTCAACAATGAATGCCCAAAAAACTAACAATCCATTGACAAGTACGAGATATAGGTTGAGTGGGTGATCGATATCGATAAGTTGCTTCCGATCGGAAAGTGGATGTTCGAGGGGTACTGGGGCAACCTACAAATGTTGAATATAGAACGAAAAAACAGAGGATTACGTGAGATGAAGTGAAAGAACAGGTGACTTGGGGGCTACCAGGGTAAATCGAGGAATGTACTAAATCAAAAAAATAGTGTACAAAATCAAACGGAATTTAACCATATTTACATTGATAAAAAAAAGTAAGGAGAAAAAAGGATTTTCAAAAACACTTACCAGAGATTTATGGGGAGTAGAAGTACCAGAGCCCTCGTTAGCCGCCAGTTTAGAAGCTGACGTTACCACCCAGGACCACGCGGAGGTGAGGGATGGATTTTACCTGGGTCCCACTNCCTGGTGCCGGAGATTCTTGTGTTGGTGTTCCTGGTGCCGGAGATCCTTGTGTTGGTGTTCCTGGTGCCGGGGATCCTTGTGCTGGTCGTCCTCTCCGCGTCGGCGCCTACGCTGCCCACATTCCAAACCCACGCTACCTGCGTAGGTCCACCTAGACGCGCCCTGCCGAGTCCGGGAACTGCGGCCCCAAAGAACAAAAACGGGGCCGAGCCCCGGACCCGACAGGACACGCCAATATCCTTTCCTATAAAAATAGGATTGGATACTTTCGGTGGTTACGCAGGCTCCACTATCTTCTTGGAAGCCTGTGCTGCTTCTACTACTGCAACTGCTGTTGCAGCTTACCTTAACTTGGATGAACCACTGTCTCTACAGGCTTCCAACTCTATTCTACTTCACACCAGCCCCACTGCAACCGAACTAACGCTAGGGTGGAAGCTAGACAGGAAAGGAGTTTGGAAGGAAAAGGAAGGAAAAAGGAGGAAGAGAACTAGGCCTATCTCACTCTACGCAACTGACCCACACCCTGGTGTGAAGCAACTCCACAGATTTCCATGAGTGTTTATATACCCCGTATTGTGATGTGTTCACTTTAATATGAAAATTGAATAACATCCAGTCATATGGTGCTACTTTGGCAATATAATTGGCCAATTATTTCAAATCGATTAATGTTTCGCTCACTGTGTTAAGCGAAATTTTGAAAGAAATTATTTGTTGATTAGACCTCACCGATAAGAAATTTGAAAAGTTGGAAAAATTAAAACCCTGGAAATTTATACTTAGTTCAATATAGTCGATAAATCCCACCACGTAACTAGTGGCGCCCATGAAATGCTACCCAAATCGATAATAATATTAGCTAATAAAGTAGTGTTAATTTCCGAACGATTATCATTTCATATTCCCTGTCTCACTACACTAGACATTAGTGAATTTGGCCGAAATTGTGGAAGGAATAATTTCAAATAAGTGGAAAGTAATTAGTTGCACTACTATGATATAGGTTTCTTAAGCTTTGCCTTTCGGCAACCAGACCATTTCTTTGCACTCAAACGACCTAGGGAGAATTTAGAGAGTCTATAAATTGTAAGCTGTCGTCGCCACATCAATGCCTATCAATCGATGAAAGATGAGTGCACTTTGCAGTCGACTTTGGAACTGGTTTAGAAGCTCTTGTGAACCTGATGCTACATTGAATGTAAAATACTCTATATTAAATTCCCACCAAATAATCTTTTAACGCAAGTGCATTCTCCCAATTGATGATCTTGATGCCATCGAGAAAGTAGCCTCGTTTGGGGGAAAGGCTAATAACAAACTCATGGTATTGATACTTCTGGTTATGGCTTTACATTCACACTATTGAATTTCGGTCTAGTTGATTGGGAAAGATTGAGAGAGCCATGACCTACCATGGAGAAGGTGCGGAAGTGATAAGTCAAAGTCACTGTAGTAAATCGCTACACGAATAATCTCTATGACAATATGCAATCCCCCCCCTCCACCTTCCTCCCCCCCCCCACCCCACCCCAGTATGGACATGCTATTGGCAAAGTCGCCCTATGACCTGTAGGAAGCGCACCTATGACGCGGAATACGTATATTTGTGTTGCGTATTCTGAGTTATATCTGCCCTTCATGAGAGATTGGCACAGAGCTTAGGCACTAAATACTGTTTTGGGTGCGCTAATTCTGCAATGACTGCTGATTATTGATTGGTGCAAGAGTCTCTGCGTTCAAAACCTCATTTGTTCCCCAAACGCGAATCGGCATCACTGCCACACTTCCCAGAATACTCGAGCGAGTGTGAGATAGCTAAATTTGATCGTATTAGGTTCATGTGCTACATAACACTGAATTGAAATTCTACTACCTACGCATTACATAGCACTACTCCGTCTTCCTATCAACTTCCTAACCAATGGCCATTAAAATGGGACGGGCATGGGGCGAAGAAGTTAATGGAATTACAATTTAGTAATATACAGTATTTTCCCTTCTTATTTTTTTAAAACTTAATGTAATAAATTTTTTAAGTGTGAACTAATTGGACATTCG